TCAGTCACTATACATAGCTGCTTCCTCAAAAAACAAAATATAAAGCCTTCTTTGAATCTTACAGCTGTTGTGCAAATGATTGCGCTGATTTCTGAACTTTTTTTTTTTTTTTTCTCGCGCTGCGACTTTTTTTTTTGCCCCTATCCTTGAAGCCCGGCCCCTGCCTGTGCAAAGTACCGCGGAGCACACACCGGGTGAGACCACCCGATTTCACCCGATCAGCCGAAGTTATACATTTTTTTTTTCGGGATGAGTCGGTCATGATAATCGGTGGGTAATCTCCTGCAAATTTACCCGGCGGGCTCGGGGCTTCGAGGATCGGAGGAAAAAAAATTGTCGCGCGAGGAAAAAAAAAAAAAAAAAGTTCGGAAATCGGCGCAATCATTTACACAATAGCTGTACATACAATCCCAGCATATCACACATCTCACACACAACCACCATCATCATCCAGAGAACCTCAAAAAAGTGAGAGACAAAAGTTCATCCACATGGGATCCATACTATTACATACCTGTGCAAATTGAACACCAATTTCAACAGGGGGTTTTATTGGGGGGCCTAAGGCTACACCTATTAGTACACATGTGCATTGTTTCTGTAAGCAAATCTCTAGTACTTGGTGGACAACACTCATGGTCATCTTGATGACTTGTGTATTATGAAAAAAAAAGAAATTGAAATTGAAATTGAAAAGAATCAATGGACTTGGAAAAAAAAAGAATAGAAAAGAAAAGAAATCAAACAAATCTAGTCTATTGATGCATAAAACAAGTCAACATACAAGAGCTAACAATACAACAATGTGTTTTTTTTTGTCTTCTACAGTAGTACTAATACCAATAACAATACAATATGTAGTTGTAGTTGTTGTCAAGTGTACAGAGGAAGAGAGAGGGAGAGAAAAGTCAACATACGAAAAAGGGAGAAGAGAGCTAATGATACAACACTGCGTTTTTGTTTTCTTCTGCAGTAGTACTAATAATAATAATAATAATAATAATAATAATAATAATGATACAATATGTAGTTGTTGTTGTTGTTGTTGTCAAGTGTACAGAGAGAGAGATGAGAGAGGAAGAAAAGAACAGTAGATTTGATTTCAAAGTGAAGTTCATATGCGCACGTCATCAGCAGAGACCTA